AAATGTACACTTACTTATAAATTACGTAATTTTAATTTGTATAGCACTGCATTATTCCGCATGGACTGGAAGAGAGGTGAAGGGGGCAAGAGACAAACAAGTGTGTTTGGTGACCAATATTGGGTTGGAATTGCAGGTGTTTCACCAAATACACATGTAAGCCCATCTTATTTAAAAAGAGCAACATGTTAATAAAAATTATGAAAATTAAATAATTGATGAAAGATGAAAAGAATTAGCCAATAAACAAACCATAAAAATTGCTTCCTAACACGGTCACTTCAACACCACCGTATGTAGGACCCTCAGAAGGAATCAACCTGCTTATCCTTGGTAATGAGAACCCATTAAATGTACTATTTGAATATATTGTATTTCCAGCAGCATTATAGAAAGGCCTCCTCAAAATCGTACTGTGGTTGTGTGAATTGTGTATTCGCATGGGACCTCCCCCATTGTGATGTGGATTTACAACATTAAAATGACCGATACCGCCAATGTTTGGATGCAATCGTTGTTGTTGGTATAACGAATTTACATTAACACAGTTTATCTGCGCAGGAGCCATAGATAAAACAACATTTGATGAATTATTATTAGCTAAAATAGGATATGCAGCTTGAGGATTAGATGTAGCTATAGTTGCAACTTGATCAGTGTTTGGAAATGAAGTACGAGGGGCATTAAGTACATTAGGCGTGTTTGGTACACTAGTTGTAATGGGGGTAACAGGTGACACAGGTGATAAAGGTGAAGTAGGTGATGATTGAGATTGAAATGTCAGTGATGACTGAATTTGTAATTGCTGTCTGTTTGTGCTAGTTTTTTCTTGTTTTATTGGTGAAATAGAGTCTGAATTCCGGGCGAGGGTTGAAGGAGATGATGGTACCTCAGATGATTTAGAGTTCGGTGACATTACAGACGATGTTGCATGTGATTCACCACTTGGAGTAGGCGAGAATGAAGCTACACTTGATACTTCGCTATTAATTTTGTTCTTTGTAGCATTACTAGACACTGCATTTGTACGACGATCATATTCTGCTTTTGGACGTTTTCGTCCAGCGCCTACTTTAGTTTTAGATGACTTGTGATCGTCTGTTATCATAATAGGAGGTGACATTCCTGTCGCGATAATCGCATTAGCATAATCTTTCATTACAAAATATATACTAAAATTTAAATATAAAAGAATAATAAGTAAATATAATCACACATAGATATATATAGCTGATATAGAAATATTTATTATACATTACCAAAATCCAACTTTTTCATTATGATGGCGACAATAACAAGTGATCCTTGTCGGTAAGATGGTATCGCCACTACTAAAATCTACAATCTCACTGCAATTGAACAAAAGAATTTTGCGTTGCTCCAATTGCATTGTTTTTTCGTCATCCAAATCCATCGGTTTATTTGAATCATCGTTAGCAGTAGCATTTGGATTAGCTTTGGAGTGTTTATTTTCTTTTTTACGTTGTGATCTTTTTCTCTATTAATTCGATTCAGTATAATTACTTGATCAAATAATATCCAAGTTTTCAGAATATTTAAATTGATCATATAAAATTTACCTCACGTTGAACACAACCAAGGCATGTGAGTACTTTTTTTGGCATTTCACTCGCACATACAACCGTAGCTTCTAAATTTAAAACACCCTTTTCTGAAATGTTCATGGCGCTATCCTGCGGATTCCTCGCATTTTTTGTCTTAAGTTTTTCTTTGGCAACCATGTATTCAGGCAATCTTAGATGTGACCATAATGGAACCTTTTCTCCTTTATCAGTTACAAGTTGTAGGCACAATTTTATTTGCGTTTCTACTCGAGAT